AAAAAAAAAAAAAAAAAAAAAAAAAAAAAAAAAAAAAAAAAAAAAATCTAGACACAGACCTTACATCTGTCACAAAAATTAACTCAAAATGGATTATATACCTAAATACAAAACTGCAAAACTTCCATAAGATAACATAGGAGAGAATCTAGGTGGCCTTAGGTTTGGCAATGAGTTTTCAGATACAGTACCAAAAGCATAATTCATGAAAGAAAAAAGTCGATAAGTTGGACTTCATCAAAATTAAAACTTCTGTTCTACAAAAGACACTGCTAAGAGAATGAAGAGAAGTCACAAACTGGAACAAAATCTGCAAAACACATACAAGGGTACTTCAAAAAAATTGTGGAAAAATGGAATTAAAAGATAATATAATCTTAACGCAAACTTTTTGAAGATCCCTCATATCTGATAAAGGACTGTATCTAAAATATACAAAGAACTCTTAAAACTTAATAAGAAAAACAATTTGGTTAAAGAGTAGACTAATGATCTGAACAAATACCTCAATAAAGAAGATATATGGATGGCAAATAAACATATAAAAGGATGTTCAGTATCATATGTCATTAGGGAATTGAAAAATAAAACAAAGACAAGGTACCACTCCACACCTATTAGAATGGCTAAAATGCAAAGTACTGACCCCACCGAATTACGGCAAGGGTATGAAACAATAAGAATTCTCATTTATTGCTGGTAGGAATACAAAATGGCATAATCACTTTAGAAAACAGTTTGGCAGTCTTTTTCAAAGCTAAACATAGTCTTACCAGTAATTATATCTACCCAAATGAGTTGAACACTATGTTCACACAAAAACCTGCACATGAAATGTATAAATGTAGCTTTATTCATAATTGCCAAAAATCAGAAGCTACCATGATGTACAGATGCTCCTCAATTTGCGATGGGATTATATCCTGATAAACCCATTGTTAAGTTGACGATATTGTAAACTGAAAATGCATTTAATATACCTAATTTATTGAATATCAGAGCTTAGCTTAGCCTACCTTAAACATGATCAAAACACTAACATTAGCAAAATTATCTAACACAAAGCCTATTTTATAATAAAGGGTTTAATATCTTATGTAACTTATTAAATACCGTTCTGAAAGTGAAAAACAATGGTTGTATAGGTACTTGAAGTACCCCATTTTTTTTTTCTGGCAGCTGGCCAGTACAGGGATCGAACTCCAGACCTTGGTGTTATCAGAACCACACTCTAGCCAACTGAGCTAATTGGCTAATTCTTAAAGTATGGTTTCTATTGAATGTTTGTCACTTTCAAACCACCATGATGTCAAAAAATCATTAAGTCAAACCATGGTAAGTTGGGGACCGTCTGTACTTCAATAGGTGGATAAACTCGTACACTAACACAAGGAAATATTATTCATTGATGAAAAGAAATGAGTTATCAAGCCACAAAAAGACATGAAGGAAACTTAAATGCATATTGCTAAGTGAGGAAGCCGTCTGAAAAGGCTACACACTGCATGATTGCAACTATATGACATTCTGGAAAAGGTAAAATTATAAAGAAGTAAAATCAGTGGATGCCAGAGGTTGGGGGCCGGAGAGGGAGGAGGAATAACAGTGGAGCAAGGAGGAGTGGGGGAGGGAGAGAAGAGCTGCTCAGTTTCCCTGGGGCTGTGTCTCAAACCACTCCAGCAAGTCACAGGCCCCTCCTCTGGGCTCTGAGTTACTGTTGCATGTTACACCTGTTTCAGCACCAACAGGGAGATTGAGACTGCAGGAGGAAAACTTGATCAATGTCATGGTCTAGCATGCGCAAACTAGGAGTTACATAAGAGTCACATAACCAAGAACCACCCCCTTAATTAAATATTCATAGATAGCATGAAAATGTTAGGCAGCCAACTATAAAGTTGGAAGCCAGGGTAAAACAAGGCAGCAGGTCATTCTCCAGCCTGCTGGCAATTTGTTTGTGAAGTGTGTATTTGCTTTTACTATTAAACTTTCTCTCACTTTCTGCTCTGACTCTGCTCTTGAATTCTTTCCTGCAGCAGCATCAAGAACTTGGTAAAGCACAGGGTCAAAAGGTCAGTGACCCGACCTACCCAACCTATCCTACCTACCCCAGACCCTCTCCTCTAGGAACAGATACACAGCACTAAGCATTTAGCAAAACCCATAGACCTATATAAGAAAATGAATCCTAATATATAGACTAACTTTAGTTAATAATGTTATCAATATAGGTTTATCAATGGTAATAAATGTACCACACCAGTGCAAGATGTTTATAAAAGAGGAAGTTGGGATGGAGAATGTATATCGGAACTCTGCATTTTCTGTTCAATGTTTCTGTAAATCTAGAACTCTTTAAGAAATAGAGTCTATGGGGGCCAAGCCGGTGGCACACTCGGGAGAGTGCGGCGCTGGGAGCGCGGCAGCGCTCCCGCTGTGGGTTCGGATCCTATATAGGGATGACCGGTGCGCTCACAGCGC